GATTTTCATTACTCCATGATTACTTACGAGTGACCAGCCATATCTTTATGAAGCATTCAACGTATATATACCAATAAAGATATAAAAGATTAATATTTAATGTAAGTTTTACAATACAAAAACTGTTTACGAATAGTTACCAATTCGACTGCCCTCAATCATAAGGAAGAAACCTTTATCGCTATGAGCGGTTTGTGCTTCAAGAATTCGAATTGCTTTCTCAGACATTTCTTTGAGAGAGGGTTCAACACTGGGAACACGATCTATCTCATAGGACATATGCTGGAAATAAAGTGTAGCTAAATATTAATAGATATTTCAATTAAGAAGGATATTATCCAATAAGAAATGCTTACGTCAAGGGTAAATAAGCCAAGAAGGGGAATACTAGAAAGTAATACGTATATGACAATTAGAATACATCAAGAAACTAATAGAACTAAAAATGTATTATGGGAATGTTTCTAAACCTTTGCGAATCAGGATCAATATTATCAAATTCTTTTCTAGAAGTAAAATAAGTAAAACCAGACTTCTTTGCTTCTGCAATTAAATCCCGATCGTCTCCCCTGCAACTACCGACAGTAGAATTTGGCAAGAAAAAGCATCGACCACCACCAATCATCAGATCAACTTGTCTTCCAAGAGGATAATCGCCAAGTTGTTGAGTAGCAATAATATCCTCCATGTTTCTATCAACAACATGAGCCGAGAATGAAGCCGGTGTAGCATGAGTGATACGACTAGTAACAACTAATCCTGTTGCCATTCCAATAGCCTTCGCAGCCTCAAGAATAGTACCACATGGAGCCTTATCAGGATCAACTGATATAAGGAATTTAAAAAGTTTTCATTAGGATCATTAATAAATGTGGTGGCTGAAGCTGAAATTGGCTGAAGCTGAAAATTTGACCTATTTTATTATAAAAATTTAAAAATTTTGGGGTACATTTTTTTTGACTTTTTTTAGGGTCAGGGGTCAGCTTTATGGGTAGAATTTATAATAAACAAGTATAAGTGAGTTTTAGTAGGTTTTATGGATCTAAATTGAGACCTCCAAATTTGCAGCTTCAGTCAATTTCAGCATCATTCCCAACAATAAATAGTTAAATAAACGATTGTATGTTTTGAGTATAGAAAAATTAACAACCTCCGATAGCACCATTATAAGTTTTTTTAACGCATGAAAATGCCGTTGCGCCAGCGGCAGAATCAGTGACAAGACTGTTAGAAGACCTCGTTCGAGATAAACCAACAAGGATTTGATCCAAAGGTGTGGTAAAATTATAATGCAAGCTGTTTACAAATTGGTAGTAATCACGAGCAAAAGTCTCTGAGGCAGGACCGAATCCATCAGAAATCATTAATATGACATTTCGTTTAATCGGTAATTCTATTAAGATTAAATTTAAAAATTAAATGATAAATTATTTATGAAACTAAATCATAAAATTATCTGTATTACTTACCGTTAGATAACTCGACCCATATCGAGGCGAACCCTATTGTACCAATGGAGACCAGGAGTGCACTGAGGAATATAATGAGCAAGATCCTTTTCTTTAAAAAATTTTTTAATAATGGTGATATAAATAATTTTGCTAAAGTTTCCAATAACAGCAAAGTTTACAACAGTACTACCATTGAATGTTCAACATTCTACCACCATTGAAGGTTACCAATATATCTAATCATATTTTTAAAATGTTCAAAGTGAATCCACTTTACAAACCTCTTTTCCCTTATACTCCACTGGAACTGGTAGTAATTCTTCTTTTTCGTCAAAACTGTCGTCGTAATCTTTATTATCCATGGCTTTTAACGTTAAGACGAAATTATTAATTGGGCTGCAAAATATAGTAATAACGGTAATAGGCGTTTGCACGTGACAAAAAATCTGGTTTCATGATCTTTATCGTCCAGCATACAAATTTGTACGTACGTACATACGCTAAAATGATTTTTGATCTATCGCTATTACTCTAAATTTTGTTAAGCCGGTACCCCCATTTTCTAAGCTAAAATAAAAGCGTATTGCATGTTGGTTATCGCATACTGTAATTCCCATTTCATGAAATTTTTTTTAACGATATCGATATTATGTTCCAATTTAATAATATTAAAAAAGGAGGGGGGCCGTGTGTAATCACGTGACATAGACCAATAAAATTGGTTGTCTTGATTGACACGGCCCGACGAAGAAAAAAAGTGAAAAACGTCGGGAGGCAATTTTACTATAAGACCTGCCCTCACCTTAACCCTGCATATCCCATACGTCTCTAAGTCGTTCTTTGTTAGATATACTTCTCTTGAAAGTCCTTCAGGGTACCAGTGACCTTCTGTGTGGACCAACTTTTTTCCATTAATCAAAATTTCTTTTTGGTTGAATTACTCTTCAATGAGTTGACTCACACCGAAGGTCATTGTTCTGTTCGTGTTATTGTGTAATGGTTTATTTAAATTATTTAATAAAGTATTAAATTTTATCATTATTGTTTCCTAAAAGTGAAATATTTGTCATGAAACATAAAAAGTTGTTACATTTTAAACAGTAAATAAATTATTGTTAAATATCTCTAACTGACAATTATGGAAATTTTGTTATAAAATTACAGTTTTTTTCAGGGAACCGTAAAATTTAATATTTAAAAATTTACAGTTCATTATCCCTTAAACCGTCCGGTTTAGCGTACAAATTTGTACGTTAAAATATTTTGAAGAAAATTAAAAAATTTTTTTTTTTTATAAAATTTCTATTCTAGTTGGTTGTGCCGTCTCTTCAAGACCTGAGTCACATGGCAAACTCCACGGTTACAGCGTGGAACACTCCACGCGGCCTGAACAGGAGTACAAATTCACACGGTGGCCGAAAAGTATGCCTTAACATTAACTTCAAAAATCAATTATGTAAAGTTGGTCTTGAAGAATCTTTGATCAACTTTAATGTTATATATTATATGCGTCACGTGCAGGTTCCCCTTTTTAGGGTGCGTCTAAAGCCGTGCAGTCATATGCTTTTTGAATCTTTATTAAGAGTTAGTGTAAGGGTTAGTATGGGGTAGTGTTACAAATTGAAAGTTGAAAAAATCGATTAGTTGGTTAGTTAACTAATTGATTGAACTTGTTAGACACTAACTAATCGATTAATCAACTAATCGACTAAAGAATTAATTAATCGATTAGTTGCAAAGAATCGATTGAAAAATTATTCATTCACTTAACGTTAATGAATTAGTCGATTAATCGACTAATCAACTCGTCGATTAATCGATTAGTTGCAACTCATCGATTAATCGATTAGTTGCAACCAACTGAAAAAATAATTGACCAACTAATCGATTTGCAACACTAGTATGGGGTTAAGGTGAGGGCAGGTCTTATAGTAAAAT